CCGTTTCCGGGAAGTCGGGTCCCTTTGGCGGACAAAGCGCTCCCCGGCTCCCCCTGCCCCCGTCAGGAGTGAGCGCAGAGGCCCGGCCCTGACCTGGGCCGCCGGCGAGCGGAGCTTTATCTACAGTCTCCAGCCGGGCCGTCTGAACTGCCCGAGACCACGGGACCGGGGCTTGAGCGGGAATGCCTCTTCCCCTGTCGGGACTCCGGGGTCTGACGTCATGGTGTCCCCGGCGCCCTTTCCTCTCTCCGGCCGGCAGATGGCGCCCCTCCCTGCGGCTCCACGCGTCTTCCCTCCACCTGTGCTCCCTGCACCCCGGCTCCCCGCACCCGAGCTCCCTGCACCCGAGCTCCCTGCTCTGTAAAGACCGCAGCCCTATGGCATTGGGTCCATCCCAATGACCTCCTTCAACCTTAACCCCTAACGCCCTCCTCTCCGAATTAGTCATGACCTGAGACTCTGGGTCAGGGCAACAAATGGATTTGGGGGTCGGGAGGAAAAGGCAGCCATGGCACTATCAGCACACTAAGCCATACACACGACCGGAGGTGTTTTCATGGGCGTATCCCCTGGGTGAAGGAGCTGAAACACGACCACGAGAGAGCGAGACAGAGTCCCCGTATTCCGTGTGCCCTTTTCTCCACCCTGCGGGGCCTCCATCCGTTTTCTTCCTTTTCAACAGGTGAGATAGACTTGACACGGGGCGTTCTATTAGTTTTAGGTGTAGACATAGTGATGGATATTTTGTATGTTGTGAGATGATCACACCAAATCTGGTTCAACTCAGCCCCACACATAGTTGTAATATTCTTCTTTTAAGAGGACTTTTAAAACCTACTCTCGGCAGCTTTGAAATACGCAGAATGCAGTAGCATTAACTGTAGCCGCCATGCGCACATCCCAGCCCTGGACCGACTGGTTTTTAACTGGACACGTGACCGGGGAACTCGTCTTTGGCCATCCCTTTGCGCCTCTCCTGTCATTAATAACTAGTTAATTGTAACGGTCTCGGACGTTTGTACCTTTTGACTCCCGCACCCCCGCCCGCCACCCCTGATCTGTCTCCCTCTGTGAGCTTGCTTTTCAACTTTTCTGTAAATGTAAAACTTTGAAAATAAAGTAATAAAAAAGCATTCATAACTTTGCAGTCTATTCTAGTTTCACTTTGAGCAATGCCTTAGGGACCGTTCCTGTCTACGGTGAGTGTGAAATCTGTGGCTTAGCTAGCAATAAATTTGTGGGGTTTGGGAACAAAGCCAATGGATTTTCCCACTGTGAAGCCCCGTCTTTGAGACTTGGGAGACTCAGGAGAGAGCATGTGGTATAATACACAGGAGAATAATTGACTGTAAATAAAGGTTGGCTCAAGGATTTTACATGTAGCACGCAAGGCGAGCTGTAGACCTGGTATAGGGGGACCGGCAGGGTTTCAGCTCTGCGTTTGACACGGGGCTGGAGCGGCGCAGTGCAGGATGCTTGCCCTTCAGCCACCCTGCTCCGCCCCACCCTGGCCTTCCGTGTTTTTGGATAGAGACGCTGGTGATGATCAGAGGGACAGAATTAACTGCGCGTCTCTCAGGAGGAAACAGGGAGTGGCCGGAGGGCTTTTTCTCACGCGTGCCTTGTGTTTTAAAAAATGGCTGGTCCATGAGTGATTAATGCGTTCCTGCGATACACTGGCCCTGTTCTGGGAGCGAGGGCGAGAGGTGCACAGAACAGCCACATGGTCTGTGCCGGGGCCCGTCTTTCAGTGGCGGGAGTAGATGGAACCAGGACTGGGATCCCGCGAGCGGAGGATGTCTGCGATAGGTCGCCTGTGCGTGACCTGATTCCTCAGGTGCCTGGCACCTGCTCTCCTCTCTCCCTGGGCCCCGGGCCGCACCTGACAGCAGAGGAGACACCAGGAGGAGCTGGTCCCGGTCAGACCAGAGGCCCTGAAGTGGGCGGGGAGAGGCCGCGGCCGAAGCAGGCGCAGACCTGGCCGGGGCCCCACACCGGCCGGCGGGCAGGCACAGAAGGGACAGGCGCCTGGCCTGCTGGTGCGCCTCACACCCTCTCAGCGCCCCCCACCCCAACCCCCGCTGGCTTCCCTCACCCGTCTCATGCAGAACGCCTCTGGCCCACGCTAACCTGCCCCTGTCCAGGGAAGGGGATGGGAACGGAGGCCCAGCCCAGGAAGTTGTCAGCTACAGGGCGCAGCCATCCAGGCCACAGAGGAAAAGAGCGAGGAGGGGGGACGGGAAGTATTGGGGGGTCGGGGTTGAGATTTTAGCGTTCGGGACACGAGGAGCTGCCATTAGGTCTCATTTTTCAGAAGGTGAGGGAGAAACGAGGGTACCTGGAGGGAGAACATTCTGAGCAGCCGGTACCCCTAGGGGCCCGCACCTGCTGCTCCCAAGGCTCTCAGTGGTCCCGCCCCCGTCCCCTCCCTTCCCCCTTCCCTCCCCGGCCCGAATGATGAGCCGTCACCCTGCGGGCCATTGCAAAGGACTCTGACTTGTGTCTGCGGCCATTCCTCGCCTCCCTCCTTGAATTGCTCTGATGAAACCAGTTGCTCTATTGGGGAGGCCTCTCCCGACATCCGGGAGGAGCCGAGGCCGCCAGACCAGCAGCCCACGAGGAACTGAATCCCGGCAGCACCCAGGAAGTGAGCTTGGGCGTGGGGCTGAAAGGACCAGGGTCCCCCGTTGGCGGCAGCCGGGGAGACCTGCACCCGAGAGGCTGCTCAGCCGCGCCGGCTCTGGGACCCGCGGAGAGCGCGAGGAGTATTGTTAAAGCCGGTGAATTCGGTGACTTGTTACCCCGCATCCGTAACTCCTACACTGGGCACGTTCAAGGAGCGCATGCGGCCGGGGTGGCTGGAGTGCAGTGAGCAGGCAGGAAGTGACGCGAGAAAGGAACCGGCTACGAGGCCTTCGGTCCTTGTGTGGTTTTTAGGGTCTTTAGGGTTTTAGGAGTGAGCGTGGCAGCCGCTGGGGAGTTTGAGTAGAGGAGTGACAAGGTGGGACCTGAGGTTCCATGTCCCACAGCTCTGTGGGGAGGAGCCCCAGAGCAGGGGTGGGCTGGGGTTAGAGCAGGAACGCAGGTAAGAGCCCTGGCTGGTGTGGCTCAGTGGGTAGAGTGTTGGACTGGGAACTGAAGGGTCCCACGTTCGATTCCAGTCAAGGGCACATACATGGGTTGTGGGCTCGGTCCCCAGCGGGGGGCGTGCAGGAGGCAGCCGATCCATGATTCTCTCTCATCATTGATGTTTCTCTCTCTCTCTCTCCCTCTCTCCCCCTTCCTCTCTGAAATCAATAAAAAAAATTTTTTTTTTTAAAAGAACACAGATAAGAGAATGGGTGGGCTCACCGGTACCGGGGAGGAAACTCATGATCCGTGCTGGCTGTGTTTTGGGTGGAGCTGCCGTATTTGCTGGTGCAGGGGCTGTGGGACATGAGGACAGGGGTGCCATATGGGAAGGTGGCCGCAAGGCCGCTGCTCATGGGCTGGCGGAGCCGCAGCTGGGCCCAGGCACGGAGCACAGGGCCGTTCACTGAGCTGGACACGCGGCTGAGACAGCAGAGCACGTAGGATCGTTGAGCGGGGAGTCCAGTCTGTGAGCCTGGCCGCGAGGGAGGGCTCTGGGCTGGAGAAACAAACATGGAGCTGTCGACTGCACGGCACTCAAAGCCATGACTTGGCGCGCTCGTACCGCGGGGACCCTGTAGACAGAACTTGGGACCAAAGACTGAGCCCTCGGGCGTGTCGACATTGACCTTCGAGGAAATCCAGAAGGAAACTGCACAGGAGGTTAAGTGCGGTCAGGAGGAAAGCAGGGGAGTGTGTCCTGAAAGCCAGGAGGACGTGTTTCAAACCCGAGGGAGTGACCGCTGTGCGTGGTGCCAGTGAGGAGGGTGGAGAGGTGACGTGGGGTTCAGCAAGGCAGGGCTTGTGGCATGTTAAGAGCCGTTTCAGAGAGAATGGGGGAGGGGAGAACTGGAGATGGGTGTGGGATCAAGAATGGGTTGTTTCTGAGCAGAGAGCATGAGGCACATCTGTGCCTGATGGAAAGACCCAGTGGAGTGGGTGCGGGGAGACCGGCTGGGCTGGGGAGGTGGTCTTGGGCGCACAGTGGGAGTGGCCTGGGACCCGTGAGCAGTTCACCTGCGAAGCAGCAGTCGAGGGCCCAGATGCTGGCAGGGGAGGCTGTGTTCTGGGACCTTTTTCGTCTTCTCATCCATTAATCTGCCCCCTCTCCCCCGAGCAATAGAAAGCAAGTTCATGGACAAAGTGAGGGCGGGAGGGAGTGCTGGATGCCGAGCAGAGAGGCGGGGGTGGCGTTAGGAGAGCGTGTGAGTGCATTGAAGGGCAGTAGGGTCCCTAGGCCACACCAGGGCCTGCGTGGGGTCTTGTAATGAACTTGAATTCATTTCCGTTTGAAAAGGAGCAGGACTGTGCCTTGTCTGCACACCCAGCCCAGCTGCACCGGAGCAGGGGTGCAGGCGGCGAAGAGGTGGAATGAACGAAGGCTGGGGTTTGCCAGGAGAGTGAGCAGAGTGAGCTGGGAAAGGGCTGTGGACAGGGACGAGGTCCGTGGAGCGGCCATGGACTCTAACCCAGTGAGGAGGGTGGTAACTCTTGAGAGGAGCAGGGGACGTGGAAATGTAAGATCCGTGGATTCAAGGTCACGGAGGGTCAGAGGAAACGTGGAGCTGGGGCTCTACAGTCCGTGCCTCCATTAAACACCCGTAACGGAGACGTTCATTGAGCAGTTTAGCCAGAGTCATGCTGAGCCTTGTGTGGTTTAGCATAGACATGGAGCTGCCCAGGTGTCCTGTGGTCCCCTGGTGGTCAGTGCACGTCATAGCGACTGGTTATTCTACCATGGCTTCTCCGTGTCACCTGGACGGGGTTGGCCGGCTTCTCCGTGTCACGTGGAGGCGGTTGGCCGGCTTCTCCGTGTCTCCTGGACGGGGGTGGCTGGCTTCTCCGTGTCACCTGGACCGGGTTGGCCGGCTTCTCCGTGTCACGTGGAGGCGGTTGGCCGGCTTCTCCGTGTCTCCTGGACGGGGGTGGCTGGCTTCTCCGTGTCACCTGGACCGGGTTGGCCGGCTTCTCCGTGTCACGTGGAGGCGGTTGGCCGGCTTCTCCGTGTCTCCTGGACGGGGGTGGCTGGCTTCTCCGTGTCACCTGGACCGGGTTGGCCGGCTTCTCCGTGTCACGTGGAGGCGGTTGGCCGGCTTCTCCGTGTCTCCTGGACGGGGGTGGCTGGCTTCTCCGTGTCACCTGGACCGGGTTGGCCGGCTTCTCCGTGTCACGTGGAGGCGGTTGGCCGGCTTCTCCGTGTCTCCTGGACGGGGGTGGCTGGCTTCTCCGTGTCACCTGGACCGGGTTGGCCGGCTTCTCCGTGTCACGTGGAGGGGGTGGGCCGGCTTCTCCATGTCGCCTGGACGGGGTTGGCCGGCTTCTCTGTGTCACCTGGAGGGGGTTGGCCTGGCTTCTGCATGTCACCTGGACGGGGTTGGCCGGCTGCGTCGTGTCTCCTGGACGGGGTTGGCTGGCTTCTCCGTGTCACCTGGAGGGGGTTGGCCTGGCTTCTGCATGTCACCTGGAGGGGGTTGGCCGGCTTCTCCGTGTCACGTGGAGGGGGTTGGCCGGCTTCTCCATGTCACCTGGACGGGGTTGGCCGGCTTCTCCGTGTCACCTGGACGGGGTTGGGTTGGCCCGGCTTCTCCGTTCACCTGGAGGGGATTGGCTGGCTTCTCTGTGTCACCTAGAGGGGGTTGGCCCGGCTTCTCCGTGTCACCTGGACGGGGTTGGCCCGGCTTGGCTGTAAAATGCGCTTGGTGGTGGGAGATGGCCTTTCAATTCATTAGACATCATGCTGAGTGAAATAAGCCAAACTGAGAAAGACACATGTCACATGGTCTCACTTATCTGTGGAATCTAATGAACAAAATGAACTGACCAACCAAATAAGACCTGAAGCAGAGGCATGGACCAGACTGACAAACCTTGGTGTGGGGCTGGGGGCTAGAAGAGATAAACCAAAGAGCTTGCATACCAACTAGAGGCCCGATGCAAGAAATTCCTGCAAGGTGGTTGGCTCTCACAGCCACAGCTTCATCCGGAAGGACA